ACAAAGTTCATCGTCCTACGGTTATTCTTTTTCTCGTATAAACTGGAAGGCAGGTATCCCAAGAAAAATTAATTTCAAGGAAAGGTGTCCTTTGGGAAGATGAGTGCAAATGTGCAAAGTACTGTTCCTTGCACATTTTTCTCAAGTCTGACGACGACCTGAGAATCCAGTATCGAAAATTTACGGAATAAATTCACTCATTTTCCCAAGGGAAGCCTTTCCTTGAAATTTTTTGTCTATATTTTGCCGTTGCTACTTTGTCAGACGAACAGATCTAGGGAGGGCAGCTGCTGCTCCTTTTGTTTTACCCTCGTGAAATGTTTTTTTGGTACGATTGAGAGTTGGAGATTATTAAAATCCTCCATCCTTTCCCACTTCATTACATGAATCATGTCGTCAACGAACCAGTGCCAGAAGACCAGTTCCCGCCGCGGATTTTTTGTTCAACCTTGAGACTCAATAGCTCTGCCAATAACCGCCTAATCAAGCACGCAGTGAGCTGCAGTCAACCAATCAGAAGTCGAAGGTCATCAGTGTTTGTATGCGCACAGATTTCAAGCGTGCTGGTACTATAAAGGCAGTCGTCAAAGAACTGGCGGATATTTGTCGCTCCTACGTTGGTCATCACTCTAAATGGCGTTCGCCCAAGGACAATTATTTGAGGATGAAATACCGCTGTTTCGAAGCTGCCCCGCGCTCGACGTAATTCGGCTTGCTGAGGAGATTAAAGAACTTACCATAGAGGTAACTCCCCCTCCTGTTTTCACTCTCAACATGCATATCACAGTTAAAAGACGGTGGTCGGCTGTACGTTCATCGGATAATAGTAGCAGCTCGCTTACCTTCTTTGCGTGAGACTCTCCATGGCCCCCTTACTGAGAGGAATTCGGTTCTCAGGTGGCCGACAGTGCCTCTAAGGTAAAATTCTCATTAGTGTTCTTATTGCCTATGCACATTTTAGCATCGCATCGGCATTCTTTAAGTACGTGTACACTGGGCGTGTGGAAATGACGCAAGCCAATGCGAGAGGAATTGTTGTACTGGCAAAAATGATGAAACTGTCTGACCTCGAGAATGGGTTTGTGCGCTTCATGGCCAGCAGGTACATATTCCCCGAATAATTTATCTCTAAATGTCTGCTCTATAGTGTCACCTTAGATAATTTGGCAACAATCTGGGACTTTGCCAGATCTCTCAACATCGGACCACTAGAGCAAACGTGCATACGTCTGATGAAAACGCAATTCAACAGTTTCGTCTGTAGTGACCTCTTTGTTCGCCTTCCAGCGGATATGGTGCTGACCCTGCTCCGAGACGACAATTTGGAGGTTGACTCTGAGGAGAACGTCTTTGCAGCTATTTCATGCTGGGTTGGTCCCGGTAAAGAGGATTTAAATGAAAAGCTAAAGTTACACGCGCCAACGATGCTCAGGGAGGTGCGTTGGCATCAAACGACTCGCCAGTTTCGAAGCCGCCTAGGACAGGGTCATGCCATGTTTCAGAATAGCTGCGGTTGTGCGTAAGTATATGCCATTCAACCTGGTTATTCTTTCAATGAATGTCACCTTCTGTGTTTAGTTGAGCAGTGGATTGGCGCTCCAGATGAGGAGAAGCCACCGTGTCCCTTCAATCCACAAATTCGCAAGCATCAAATGCAACAACTCGTGGAAATACGACCGCATCCCGCATCATTTGTGCTTTTTGGAAAGGATAAGCAGAGCAGCAAGTGGTTTGTCCTGTACTTCGATTCACAAATGCGCAAGGAAGAACGTATTGCCGAGATGGAGAAGCGTGAATACGCTTCCTACAGTGTCATTGGTGGTAAGTTGCTTGAACGTTTAGCATGTTTTTTGCTTTTCTTAAATCTAAGGAATTTATGCATTTTATGCCACTATTGCGCAATGTTTCATCATTATTAGTGTTACTCCATGATACATAGGTTTATAGTAACATGCATAAGCGTGATATTTTCTGTGCCATTAATATCTTCCTGTAGAAATCGCAGATACTATAAACAGGAAAGGGCGATGTTAACGAATATCCAGTCAAAGATTGTCCCGCTCCTGTTTATTCAAATTGTACGGTCATTTCCTATAAATATGTCTTCATTTATGGTTTTTTGCTTTTTCACCTGCAAATAGAAGGAAAATACTTTTGGATTTTTGCGTTCAACGCCATTTTTTGGGGGTCCGGTAAAGGTTCTTAAAAGCCTACTGCATGATTCTTTATGCCTTCCCCCACGTAAGGACCTGCCCCCTTTTTTGAAATTAATATAACCTGCCCACCTTATGTTGTCTTTTATTTTTTCGACGGAAGAGAGCATTTTCGTGGTGGGAGGCGGGACTGCGCAACAACGCACCTCAAAGTGCGTCGAAGAGTTCTTGATGAGAGAACGGCGCTGGCGTAGGCGGGCGCCCCTCACCGTTGGACGAGAATACCATGCTGCCGCAGTCGTGAGGGCAGGCGATAACAAGACGTTGCTCGGCGTTTTCGGCGGAAACAACCCGGGCCATCTTTCTTCCTGTGAAGTGTACGACGTCAGTCAGGATAGGTAAGAACACACTCCTACTGGCGTTTTGTTCTTAGAAAATGTTTGCGATGCATCTCACTTGTATTTTCTCTTCACCCCTTCCTAAACAGATGGTTCAAGCTGCCGGATCTGCGGGAGAAGAGAGGCGCTACAGCTGCTGCCTGTCTGCCCGACGACAGTCGTGTCTTCGTTTTTGGTGGTTATAATGGCACCTCGAATCTAGCTTCAGTGGAGTTCTGTCAGTTTGGTGCAGACTGGCAGACCAGAGCGACCGCTGCCAGTACTGCTGACTTTTGGCAGCCAGCTGCCCCCATGAGGTCTATGCGGGACTGCCACGCAGCCACAGAATTCCGCGGACGAATTCTGATCGCCGGTGGCTGGAATACGAATGGTTTAATCATTGTGGAGATGTTCACACCGCCAAATGCCAGCAGCCCCCGCGGCCAGTGGACAGAGCTGGCGCCGATGAAGCAACCTCGCTACTATTTCACACTGCTCAGCTCTGCCGACGCAGTCTTTGCTCTCGGTAGGGATGCCTGCTCCTTGGCTCTGCAGTGAAGCAGAAGCTAGTTGCATTCCTTTTCTCTCGTATGCCATTTTGATTCCCTGACCAGCCAATCTAATTCTATTTGGTAGAATGGCTAAGGCATATTGATGAGGCCCAATGGGCCTGAAATATACAACTTATTATATACATGTCACGCCCGTTTAATTAATGTTGGCCTGCTGTTCAAAGTTTCTGATATGTATTACGACATTGAATCCGGCAGTGCTTTGTTTATTTTTTTTTATTCTTCTGACCTGCTCTGTGGCAAATTGTTTTAAGGAGACCTTAATGAGAACTAGTTTTTTATCCAAATTTTGTAGGTCACGACAACGAACCGAAAAACACAGTTGAAACTCTTACTGCACCGCAGGGTTCATCTAACTCCGGAAATGATCTGACCTCTTGGCGCTGGGCCTCCAAGAATCCCGTGGAAACGCTTAGTCGGATATGGGGAGCTGCGGTCATTCGCGTGTGAACGTCTGCGTCTCCAGTTGTTACCCTGGCCTGTCATATATTGCCTTTAATTAAAAATAAACTATCAGCAAGTAAACCTGCTTTGCCATTTTTATTTTAAAATATCGGGGGTACTTGCGATGCCTGCCCTGTGGGGGGATGGACTAAAGACGAGTTTTTTTTGATTTGCGGGAAAGGAAACAGCCCTTTCTACTCTTTAGACTAAACTCACCTGCTCGGTTAATAAACGCATACACTTATTCGCCGATCTAGTGCATAACTTGAGTAACATCACGCATAGGTAGGGGTGTGTATTCATATGAATATGCTGCTTATAGGCAATGACGGTTAAAACGAAACAATGCTTATTTGACAACTAGAACTTTGTTGGGCAGTCCATTGCCGTTTCTCTTGAATATTTTAATCTTTGAGCTATCACGTGAGTTTTCTTCAGCAAAGTTTCTGAAGCGCAGCACAAATTCGTATGAATGATAATAATTGCACATTTGAAGATTGAAATATGAAGATATTGTGATGAAGCATGTGCCAAATCCGTGATAATATTGGCTTGCAAATGGTCTGGACTGAGTCTGTATCATCAAGTCAGAAGTAGAATTTACTTAAGTATACGGCGACAGTCACGTTTCGGGCAGCACAACCGCTTATTTTGAATAACTGTCGACTTGTTTCGTAGTGGTAACCATGCTGTATAATCTGCCCGGAAACCTCAGTTATTGAGGCCGAATTATGGCCTTGGCTTTGATGCCATTTTAAATTTAAAAACGAGCGAAAAAGTATTTTTTACGTGGCTTTTTATTTTAACCTCTAAAAACTTATATAGAGCAAATAGTCGATTGTATCTGTTGCGGCAGTCCAAACATTTTGTCCCCTTCGTTCTCTCAGCCAGCCTGCCCCAAAGTCGCAGGCAGCCTTTCCAAACCTTCTATTCACTTGCGTCCCCGGCCCCAAAAGCTTGACCTGGCAGCCGATTTATTGGTCACCTTTTGAGTAACAGATAACAGCTGCGCGAGTGTCTCCTATCCTTCAGCACCCCAACGGCCGAGCCAATACATACGACTAA